CCGTGAACTTCAAAAGAGAGTGAACAGATACGCAGAGCTCCGCAGCGGCGGACAAGAGAGAATGGGGAGGGGGCTCGTGAGCGTGCCTGCGCGTGCCTAGTGAGACAGGCCCTGACCCCCCTACCAGCTCCCCGTACTGACACACCCTGCGGTGAGGGTGTTGCATAAGGAACCATTGGGTAGGTAATCCAGGGTCTGGCCTGTTGACGGAACATCCATTGAGGATTCGCCATGGACATCACCGCTGCCCTCATCAGAGGAGGACTCCCCCAGGGCCTGAGGCCTCCGGAGCACATTCCTCAACGAGCGCCCCCACCGCACCAACTCCCCCTGGCTGGCTCCCCAATCCCAACTCCCCCCTGCTGACTTCTACGGCCGCCCCGGAGCGGACGCGCGCCCCAGGACGACGTAAGACCGCTCGGGGGGCCCCACTCTCTCCGACTTGCTCCACGCAGTTCAGCCAGCACCACGCGCGACGGCCCGCTCCTCCTCCTCCTCCTCCTCCTCCTCCTCCTCCTCCTCCTCCTCCTCCTCCTCCTCCTCCTCCTCCTCCTCCTCCTCCTCTCCTCCTCCCTCCTCCTCCTCCTCCTCCTCCTCCTCCTCCTCCTCCTCCTCCTCCTCCTCCTCCTCCTCCTCCTCCTCCCCCATCACGCGGCGCCGAGGTTAGCGGCCGTACCCACCCACGCCCCGCGCTGAACAGCACATGCCCGCTCTCCGCCCTCCCCACGCGACCCGCGGCCCTGCGGTCACGGAGCAGCCTGGAATGCCCTCCTCGCCACCCGGGCGACGAGAACAAACGGCTCCCATGCGAGATAGCACAGAGGCCCTACGCCGTGGCTTCCGCGGGCCGCCAGCGTGGCACAACGCGTGGAGAAGAGGGCGCTTGCGCGTGACCCTACGCGGGCAACTTGCGCGCGAGTGTCGGCGCAATTGGGACCCGCCCTTCTGCATCGATCACCCTTGACGTCGACCGTGCGACCAGCTTCTGGGCGCCATGGGGCCAGGCCCTCGGGCCGCGGCGGCTTCGAGGGGCCCCTCCAGGCGAGCGGAACGAGCCGCCGCTACCCCCGCCCAGTGCGACGGCGACCGGGTCAGCCAGAGCATGGCACGACCAGAACCGCGCCCAACAGCTCTGAGCTCAGGACGTGACGAGCCAATCAATGCGGAGGCAGGTCCTGCAGGAGAAGACACGACGGCGACGACCAGTGGGTCCGCCAGCCCTGACAGCCGAGCAGCGGGGCCTGGCTCGGGGGTGGAAGAACAAGCACCCCCACCCCCGCCTGGAAGCGGGAGAAGAAGGGGGGAAGGGAGGGCTTCTCCTCCCGACGCAGCAGCGCCACAAACACACGCTCCCCTCAGCCAGTCCGTGGTGCCCAGGACTGAGGGACGAGAGGAGGTGGCGGAGGGGCTGGAAGGGAGGCGGAGGGCGTGGGGCACAGGGCCGGCCTTCCGCCACTCCTGCGACGCGGCGGGCACCTTCGCCTCGGCCGCCGTCCGCCAGCCGAAGGAGGTGAGGACGAAGTTGGACCCGCCTCCAGGTGTGGGAAGGGAGAAAAAGAAGAAGACGAAGGAGGATAAGGATACGGAGGAGGAGAAGGGAGGGAGAGGCTGACTTCGTGGGCGGGGGGCGTATCCATATCTACCGCCTCGCAGTCTGGACTCCCAGGACGCGACGCCATGGATACGGGGCGAAGTTGCGCGGATGCCCCACGCGGAACGCATCCTTGGTATTCGGACCACGAGGGCATGGATATGGATGTGTGCACAGATAGATGTTAGTGGATGCAGATATTTACACGCGTCACAGATGGGTCCGTCGCTCGTGCTGGTGGTGTCCTCCCACTCCCCCCTCCCCACAATAACGCAGCGAGGCCAGTCCGACGGTGCGTCTGGAGAAGCACGGGCGAGGTGGAGGTCATTCGCACTGCAGAAGTACGGAGCAGGGGGGGGCAGCTGAGGGGATGGGGAGGGGAGGTTGGCGGCGAGCGGGAGGCAAGGGGAGCCGGGGGAGGTGATGGGGACAAGAGGGGGGAGGACAAGCCAGGCGGGCCCGCCCCAGCTCTGACGTCCTACCACTCCCACATCCCTTCCCATTGCCCCAGTTATTCTCGCCATCCGCCGACGGGTGACACAGCGCACCCGCAACCCCCCCAAAGGACACAATCGCGTCATGCGCAATCAAAAGTATGGGAGAGGGACAGGCTACGCAGGTAGGCCCTCGCCGAATCTGACACCCTCTGCCCTCCTCCGCGGCCAATTCATTTTTTGTTGCTGCGCCTGTGGCTTTCGAGCTTCTACTGAACTGGGTCAGGATCCTGCAACATCCTGTGGGATCCTGCAGGATCCTGCGCGCTAGCCCGGGTCAATGCAACCCTAGCTTTGCAGGATCCTGCAAGGGACGGCGCTCTGGCTGACCCCCCTCTTGCATCGACCCCCGCCTCTAGCATCTCGAGGCTTGCTCTGCTCGCCGCGCCCGGTGGCTGCAACGACCCGGCGAGCCCCCTCGCCGCGCCCATCCCCTCTGCTGGTCGCCGCGTCGGGGAAGGCAGCGACAAGGCGGCGCCAGGCACCCGTGGTCTCGGGGTCCAGTCTCGACTCCTCCACGACAAGGCGTGACCCCAAGAGGGTCGTGAGACCCTTCCCCTCGAGCTGGCTTCCAAACTCCAAGTCGTGATCCTGACAGCCGCAGGGGCCCAGTGAGGACCCCCCAATGAGGCCGAGCATGGGCGCGCACAAGGGGGCGGAGGGAGGAAGGAAGCTTTTTTAGAAGAAGGCAGGCCCGCGCGGGCTGCGGTCCCGAGACCTCCCACGTATTGAAAAACAATACGCAAGTTTGTTCGTAGTTTCGGCGTTATCAGACTACGGCACACCAAAGGTTATCTGAACCAAGCATGGCCACAAGGACTACTCCTACATGGATGAAAGTAAGCCTCGAGAAGCGGGTCGAGACCCCAGGGGATGGCGTATCGAAAAAACGATACATCGGACTTCTCGGTGACCTTCGCGCTTCCGGCGCCGCCCCTGGAGAGCAATCGGCCCTCCAGCCCGGGCCACGCAACGAGGCCATCTCCAGACCGAGGCGACGGGCAAGACGAGGGCCATGTCGGACGAATCGGGCGCCTCGGCCCTTCCAGAACGCTCCCGCTCTGGATCGACGTGTCCTCATCCTGGGCCTGCCTGGTGAACACCATCGTGTGACCTGACCTTTTTCTCTGGTGGCCAGGATTGTGGCCGAGTGCCATCTGCCAGCTCCACCTCCCATGCCATCTGTTCACTGCGATCGGCCAGCATCTCTCGACAGCTGCGTGTAGGGTGCGCGATGGTCTCGCAGCGAGATCGACCGCGCCAAAGCTTTCAGGGACAAGATGCCAAAGGGACGACGGGCGCATCCCAACGGCATTCTCCTCGGCGATCGAGGCCAGGGGCAGCATCGCCAGTGCGGGTCTCTAGCAGGGTGTACCACGCGGGACTGCCGCGCAGTCCCCACCGATCTGTTCTTAACTCGGGCTACACTCTGGATATGTGGTGCGCTCATCTTCAGTACGTCTGCGCTGGCGCTGCCCGGCGGCACTCAAGACTGCACATTGGCCTCAAGCGTGATCCGTCGTCCGGCAAACAGCGCAGGACGAAGACTCTCATCTCAGGACCAGGCGTCCAAGATGAGCAGGGGTGCCCCTTCAGAAGAGGAGAAGATGGAGAAGACGAAGAAGAAAACACCCTCCACATTCGTGCACCTGGAGGGGCAAAAGCAGAGAGACAGAGAGAGAGAGAGAGAGAGAGAAAAACAAAAACGAAAAAACGACAAAGAGGCACGCAGAACTTGCCTAACGTAGTTATTTGATTATCCTTTGTTGAACAGCCAATTAGCGGTCACAGAGTATGCAGCCAGGCTGAGTAAGAAGAGTAGAGGAGAACGACGCCGTAAACGATGAGGGCGCGGAAGACGAGGAGGACGATAATAAGAGGGGGTCGTTAGCAAGGGAAACAGGAGAAGCAAAGGGAGGTGGAGAATTAAGATCTGTCACCGTACCCCCTTAGCACGTTGAGGCGTGCTGGAATGCCAGCCAAATGCTGTCTGGGAGGGTTTTTGTAATCTTCTACGGGCCCCCCCCTCCGGATCGCACCTCGCCGCGCGCCCCAGCCATACTCCCCGGGGGGGCCCTGGGCGGCCATGGCGCCTCCCTTGGGCTCTCCAAGACGTCCTTGACGGCCCAGGAAGCCCCCAAGACAGTCCAAGAGGGCGCCAATTCGCCGAACGATCGCTCGAAGTCGCCCAAGACCCAAGATGGCCTCAAGATGGCGCAGGAGGCTGCCACGGCGCCCCGAGAGCCATCCAAGAGGTCTCCCAAGAGGGCCCCCAAAGGCAAAAATCGTTGATTTTCTGTGCGTGTTTGAAAGATTTGAACGTTCTCCCCTTTTCGGCTTCCGACACTCCAAGACGGCATAAGAGGCCTCCAAGACCACCCCAAAACGGCCCAAGAGGCCTCCAAGAGGGCCCCAAGACAGCCTAAGAGCGCCCCAAGACGGCCCAAGAAGCGCTCAAGACGGCCCAGGTGGGCCCCAGGACTGCCCCAAAAGGGGCCCCAGAGACGGAACACGAACCGAAAATCCAAGCCTTCTGCCCCAAGGGGCCCTCAGGAGGCCCCAAGAGACCCTAAGAGGCCCCCGAGAGGCCCCCAAGAGGCCCAAAAAGGCCCCCAAGAGACCCCGAAACGGCCCCCAAGAGGCCGCAAAACCGGCCTCCCACGAGATCACAACGAACATCCAATAGGCTTCATACCAACTACCCAGGCACGGTGGCGGGACTTGCCGTAGGCACCTGGATAATGGGCAAGATACGGCGAAAGAAAACTAGGAAACGGAGAACCTTGTACCTCGCGCACAGGAACCACCCTCGACCATCGGCATCCGCACAAAGGGAAGGAGAAGGATGAGGAGGAGGAGGAGGAGGAGGAGGAGAAGCAGGAGCAAGATCAGGAGCAAAGGCGCACACTTGTTCATCAGTAGCGACCGTACCGAACGAGCCCGGAGCACGGCACGGCAACGAGCTGAGCCGCCGATGGTGGCCGTCGCTGTTGCCAGGACTGTGTGCTGAACTGTGGGAGAGACTGGAACCCCTCCCTCGCGCATCAGGATTTGCCTTCAGTTTGTGATTCACATTATATATACACACAAGAGAACGCAAGAAAACAGCCAAATCATAAAATGTGTGCAAGCGGGCACGTGGGAATTCCCGTTCTGGGTCGTGAGGTATCGTTGGGGGAAGCGGGGAGGTGAGGTCGGCCAAGGGGCTCAGCGTCTGGACGCTCCAGATTCCCAACCTGAGGGGAACTGGAGCGTCTCCAGTGAAACACTTTTCCCTAATTAGCGCGTCGTGGCGGCGGCCGCGGCGATGCGCAACGCAGTGCGAGCGGATGGCGCGTCGCTCTGCTTGGCTGGGCGGGAAGCCGGGAGAGGATCGGGACGTTCACGCCAGGGGACTGTTTCGTGGGTAGAGTGTCGCACCGGTGCGTGGTGGGCCAGGACAGGCGCCGCGGCACGCTGAGCAAACGCTCCCGAACGAGTACGCCGAACTCCCCCGCCGAGTTGGCCGGCTCCCTGGCCGACAAGACGACGCGGTCTCCTCCGAGGCGCCAGGCGCAGAGCCGCAGGATAAGGAAGCGCCAGATGGCAACGGGGGGAGATGGGAACCCGCTCAGGGGGGGGGGGGGGGAAATTCAAGCTGGAATCGACAATACTTCACCGGTATATTGGCGACAGGCCCCATGAGCCGATCCCTGCGGCAAGGTCCCCATTGGTGATTATGGCCTGGGCTCGCCTGTTAAGGCGGCAAGGTTCCTTACAATGAAAACATGAATTCCAGCCGCGGCGACGAGAATCGAACCAGGAACGACAAGGAAATTCCGCCAGCAACAATCCGACACGCCGACAGAGAGGGAGAGAGGCGCGTCGTGCCCCTCTTGCCCATCCGCCTCCCGGGCCGCAAAGATGCTCCGGCGGCGAGACCCTCTCCGATCCTCAATCCTCGGAGGGAGCGAAGGAAAGGAAGAAAGGGAACGGGGGAGGCCGAGACCAAGGACCGCCCGAAACCCAGGGGGGCTACCGCTCAAAGTCAACGTGCGTCAAGTGCGGAGGGTAGAGCACAGTCACCCCCTGACGTTGCCCCCCTGGCTCTCGGGCCATGACCTGGTTCTGCGGCTGCCGTTCGGGAGGATCTGGGCACCCCTGGAGCGCTCTCGGCGAGGCGCTGCCACTGGAAGGCGTCCCGCGGGTGGAGGGCCGCCGAGAACCAGTGCAGACGCCCGAAAACCTTTGATCCCGAGACCAAAGCGCCACCCCCTGCTCCTCCGAGGCTCCAGCCGCAGAGCCGAGGCACGACGATCGGATACACGCAGCAGCGACGCTGGGAAAGAGTGACCTGTGGTGCGCGGCTTGCGTTG